GTTGTCACTTTGAATTGGGAATTTATGAATTGGGAATTTTTGAATTGTATTCACACAAACACATTTTCGTGTAATGCGTTAGTATGCGTGAAAATGTTTACGGCCTATCGCCCACAACTGATGCCGCGAATTTTCATTTTTACCACAACGCGTAGGTATCTGGGGACGTTAAAAAGTTGTTGTTAGTAATTTTTTTAGGCTGTTTGAAATAGGAAATGCGGCAACAAAAGTTTGCTCAAAAACCACAAAAAGCATTGCATACTTAAAAACATGTATGTATGTATGTATGTATATACATATGGAATAGGGTGATCCCAGAACTAAAGAATATCGAGAATAACGGGACCAGTATTTTTTTTTTTTTTTTTGAAATCGGTTACTATTTAACCGTTTTGTCGGGGTTTGAAATTTTCCATCGTTTTCCAATGGGGAAAACTAAACATGCATCATCATTTCTTTTCTTTCTGAAAGGAAATATTCTCATTTGAAAAAAAATACACACGTTTAACGGTTTTATAGAAATTCTATAAAAAAGTAAAATACATCCATATGTACATTAGGGCGACGGGTAAATTTTTTTTGACTACGCGCGTATAGCATAGAAGGATTCTACGTATAATTCTCAGCAAATTTGCAGAAGAAACCTATATAAAATATAAATAACTTATTTTCGCAATTTGGCAAACTCCAAATTGATTTTAGACCCATGGTTTCTTCGCAACTTTGCTTAGAATTACACGTAGAATCCTTCTATGCTATAAGTGCATAGTCGAAAAATCTCCCATAGATACATTAGTTCTGGGGTGACAGCAGGAAAATTCCAAAAAAACGTTCGTATATTACTGCATATATTATGTACAGGAAACTGGGAAAATATTCATAGATGCTAAATAGAATGAGTGCGGGGCACACCTGTCAAAATTTGGAGGTGGCAACGAAATGAAAGGACACAAAGAATTGAAACATGTGCATACATTTATGTACATACATATGTATATGTATGTATACATAACTAAAGGAAAATTTGTAGCACATGGAAATGTTGCCAAAATCATTTTCCAACTCCCAAGCAACGATAATGGCGTCATGCCAACCATTTTATGTTATTTACAGGGTGGCTCAACAAATTTTTCTTATATAAAAATAACTATACACACGGTTACACTTTCAGTGGATCTTACATGATGTTTGACTACGGACTTAGAAATTATGTTACTCATACGTAATGTGACCAACTATTTCATAGCTCAAAGAAGTACATGTTAGGTTGGCGTAGGTTAACACCGCGAGCCGATTACGAAATTTCGAATGTGGCTTATTTCGATCCCTGAGATCTCAGTGTTTGTTAAAAAGGGCGACAGCTGATACAAAAGGATCAGTTGAAATCGCAATCGCACAATTTCCTGTTACAACCCCCATCCCTAGCCCTTGAGAGTTAACGTGTTTTTCGACACCTTTAAGGGGTAACGATAGGTCACTCGTGTTTTTCGCTGCAAAAAGTATTTTTAAGTGCC